TGCCAAGCAATAAATGATATGGCTGCATTTGTTGAGAAGACCTGGTAAATATTGTAAATACACACGAGCATGAAAACAGTAATTATATATGTGGGAATTTTAATTTCACCCAATGCAGTGAAAAAAATAACTTTCTGCTCTTCCTGTTGCATAAGTGAAATTTTATGGACCTTTATGTGTTCTTCAACATTTTTAATTAAAATGTAAACTATATTATGTATCTATCTCATTCAAATTTCATTAAATTTCAACGCTAAAATTAAGGATTTTCTTCAAGATACAACAAATACAAATCCAGACAAAAACCATATCAGTTTCAATTATATAAGAAACCTCTTCAAAACTTCTCTTCTAACTGCAGAATTACCGTCAAAGAAAAATCTCAAAATACTAAGATATTTCTTGTATGATTTATGAACGTCTATACAGAAAGTCTTCTTACATCGAAGTTTGTAGATTTTTAATTGCCTTTTGGGAGACATAACACTTCTAATAGACTTTCCTTAAAAATCAAAGGTAATTAATAAGACCACAGTCCTCAAAAAATCCTTCAAAGTGCATAAACTTTTGATCAACAAAATATATTTCTCTATATTTAAGAGAAACTTACAGAAGATAGTGAATACACTTTCTTGAGAGTGAATACATAATTCTTAACTGTGAGATGGGGTGCCAAATTTAAAGTAAATGCTGTTTATATTGATACATCATTTACACTGAAGCTATAAAACCCCTCTGCACTACTGATACCCTCCTACAGTTGGTGCTTGTAAGGGCTGTAGTCTAAGAACTGGATTTTTCTAAGGATCTTACAGTGAATGCAATTTTTTTATATCACTGACATGTCTCCTGCAGGACATTTCTAAACTCCAAGTAAGATACTACAAATATAACTCTGTTATTGGCATTTTAGAAAAATTACAAAACCTAGTTTCCAACACAGGCCAAAGAAGACTGAATACAGATGCCAAGAAAGGATTATACATGTTATACGACGTCTCATGTTATCTATATACACTTGGAGTGATTTACTTAATGTAACATATAAGGGTTTAAAAAGTATGCAAAGATTTAAACTGCCATTATATAAATACCTATAGTTGTGACTATTCAGATCATAGTGTTTTGGTGTGTGCTTAATGTATTACAGGTAATGTTCAAAACTTTCTGTGGGATATTTTTGAATGTATGTAGCTATAAACTGAGTAACAGAGTAAAGCACAGACCTTTCCAAAACAATGCAAAAGCCAGATTTAAATTTTTAAATAAAGCCAGTTTTTATCTCAGTTAAAAAAATCTAAAAATCTAAAGATAGCTGAGGTACCTTTCTCCTGCAAAAAGAACTCTGGTAACTCTAAATAACAATACTGATTTTCTCAAAAGTTTTCATGTTATTTCTGTAACATTAGAAATTTCAAAGGATTATTTCCAAAGATTTAAAGCAATTAAGAAGGGGGTGTAGGGTGAATATGTATAATCTACTTTTACTCCTACTAGGATTCTCAAGTAAGATTGTCTCTCCTTGTAACCCTAGATGCACAATGTAGTGATTAGTCACACTGTAATCATTAAGGGTAGAAAAGGGGGAAATACTGTACCCATAATACAGATAAGGGGAGGAACCAGTGGTCCACCCCATCCAAGCTGAAGAAAGGTTATCCTATATGAAATAGAAATATATAGCCTGTTATTAGTTGTGAATCTGTAATGACAGACACTTGATGTTATGTTTTATAACTCAATCATCTGAGAAATATTTCTTTCCTACTAATGAAGTTTGGAGTACTCATGAAAATGCCTCATTATCGCTTTCCTGGTAAGGGAATCTAAGGAATAGTCATTGAATTTTATAGGATATTTAAGATATCAAATACTCTAATTTAGTTTTACAAGTTATGAAATTGGACTGGAAATTTGAAATACAGTAAATGTTTAAAGCCATCAGCCAGAAATACGCATAAGGCATGCAAAACTGAAAGTGCAAGTGGATTTCAGATTGTTTGCTGCCTTCTACTATTTCTCTAATAAATAAATCAAGCACGGCATGACATGCTTTATTTTGTGAAATTAGACACAAATGCATGCTTTATTGTCACTTAATTCTCTAACTCAGCAAAGCAATGTATACTAAGTATTCTACATTTACAAGTAGCATACCAATTCAGGACTAGCGCAAAAGCATTGTATTGCAAGTACTAAAAAGCTAAACAAAAAGCAATGGGTATATTCAAATCTCAGTTTGCAGATACTTCTGCTCAGTACATACACTAATTGAGATGAGAATATAAACCCTAAGACAGAAATTTAAATTAAATTAAAGCAATTCTTTACTTTGCCTTCCAGCAACTGGGTGGAGTTGGTTTTGAGATTCACTATAGAAAGTATTAAAATTTCTCAGAATTCATTATACTAGCAGATATTTTACATGCCTTTTAATATGGCAAAATTCACTTCTGTGCTCAAAGCAAGCACAGGCTATGGACCACTTGTACCCTATTTTGGTGCAAGCAATTCATATATCTTATATTCACTTTGGAAAGAGAATTTATCCCATTTATGAAACAGCATAATTACAAAATTAAGTTGTAACTACAGAGTACATCTGTAGACTTATAAGAATATAACTTAAAAAGTGAAGTATGTTTCATGTTTAGGGATAACAGAATGGTTATTAGTGTTTACTGACTACGTAAAATGCTGTATTCTTCCAATTCACCAGAATGGTAAACTTATTTAAGAAAAAGATTAATTTAAAGTAGCTGAGAACTTAGCAGATTGTTTTATAAAATGATGCAGAGCTTTTTACATACAGGGACTTTTGGGGAATTCATATGAACTCTTATAGTTTCAATGCAAAATTTGCAGTTTTGAACATGGGGGTAAACATTAAAATTATAAATACATGCCGAATAAAAACTCCGCTTGTTTTGTCACAGGTGTCTGTAAGTATAGGCAATATAAAAAAGCAAAGAGGGTTGATTTATTTTTACTTTCTGTTGGGAGATAGAAGAATCTGGTTTTATGGATTTTTATGAAAACTCAGTTTCTGAGAAGACTGTAATTTGACTATAATCTTATCATGAGCTGGTCAATTATTTATTATTTGAATCTTTTTACTGTTCGTGAGTCATTCATAAAGAAATGCTACTATCTGTCAGTGAGCTGTTGTGAATACTTGCCAAGTGCTTTGGAAAAACTATTTTCAGAAGTACATGTAACTAATAGTAATGATAAGGCCAGTCAAATTTGCTAAGCGACTGGAATCTGGTACTTCATTGATAATCATTAATATTGGAGGACGGAGCTGAAACCTTTTTTGCATTGCCAGGCTTGTCTGTGATTCCTACACAGTATGTCACTTGTGAATTATTCATGTTGTGTATCTGAAATTCTATCAGATGATTTGGCTTCTGGCATAGTCTCATAGTTACTCAGTGAAAAATAAGGGAAAGCAGTAAATAGATTTCAAATAACAGGTACTTTTCTTTGAGCACGAATATCCTAAGTCTTTTAAGTGGAATACTTGCAAGGCAATCATGTAAGGATACAGAAAAATGGAATAAAACATTTGGCAATCAATTTTGACATTATCTTTCTAGAAATGATCTATTTTTTCCAGCGTCATCTAAAAAGCTGCACTTCTTAGTCCCTGTGCAACTTCTATACTGGTCTCCCAGTCCTCCTGCAGCTGACCAGAATATTATTTTAAAAGTAAAGCTGACAGCAATTTCCCGACATTTCTCTGCACAAAACAACATTTATCTGAATGTTCATGAACAGTAAGTACAAAGAAAGACAAAGAGAAAATGGCTAAATCAAATAGTCATTCCAAACTTAAATAAGAATTCGTACATTATGTAGTACTTGACCAGCTCTTACCCTGCTGAATATCAATTCATGAATTTCAAATGATGAGAAAACTGTTAAAAGTCAATTTGCTGTATGAAACTGAAATTCATTAATCTAGTAACCATTGGTTAGCAATATTTTTTTTCTGATGCATTCTGAAGTAGAGATATGTAGCCTGATGAATACAATTTAAGGAACAGCATTCTAAGCCTCAATTTGACTTGATTAAGCTTAGATTTGTATCTAAGTGTTGTTCAGACAGTATATTCCAGGCTATCCCACTGGTTTATAATTGACCTGAAATTCATTAATGCATTGTTTCCTCTTATGTTTCCATGAAGTAGCAAAAAGCATTCTCTTAAAACAGATTTCAATGACATGCATATAGAGTTAGTTTGTATTCAGTGGCTTTAAGGAACAGAAGGTATAAACAAATGAAAAAATAAGTTAAAAAGCTTTCTTGAGTGAGATGAATAGTAAGCAGGGTCTCTAACTCAGAATAAGTAAGAAATAACCTTATATACATTGTATTGAATATTGAATAGAGATTTGCTGAAACAAGGAAAGCATTTACCTTACAAAAAGAGTAATTTCATAGAGAAATCAAATAACCTGATTTGTTTTTAAAGTCAGCCAAACTCAGAAATAGATTTAAACCACTAATAGGTATGAATATATCTTTAGTACCATCTAGTAAAATTCAGTGGGGTTAGACCAAAGGTGGTTTATTAAATATGAAGAAAAATGAAGGATTTCAACTGGTAAGAGAAAATATCTTTATTAACTAATGCTAAATTAAATTCCTGTATAAATATCTTCTTATGTTTATCAGTAAAAAATTAATAAGATCTTGTTACATCTTACTCATTATTAGGCGTCTGTTAAGAGAGTTCATAGTTGGTTATTTTGAAGTCTTAGATGGAAAACTCCTGAGATTGGCTAGAAAGTAAAGTAACCTTAATGAATGTAACTTCTATGTGATACTGCATACGGATTTAGGTGAATTGATGAAGCTTTTTGCTTATCTGTTAGTAAAAGATATGCAATAGATAAAAAGTGCAGCCTTTCTGCATGGACTTGTCATTCCTTATTCTGCATGCATGGATTCTTTCTATGCATGCATAGTTTCAGATTCTTTCATGTTGTCTTACCCTCATGCCTTCAAATCGTGACAAAGCTCTTAGAGGTCTCAAAGCTCTTAGTGTCCTAAGGGACTTAATGGCACCAAGTTCAGAGTAACCCAATGCATTTGCTGTTAAGCTAACCAAAGAGACCTATATGAAAACAGGAAAGTAAAAATTATTATATTGTACATACTACTTTACATACCATAGGTGTGAGATATAAACTTCTTTAGAAGAATCTAATTTTGGACCGCTTTCTTCAGGAATATGAATTCTTTTAAACACAAAAACAAAAAAGTAGCAATATGAAACAAGAGTAGAATAGGTGAATAAACAAACAAAAATATAAGGTAACAATATCTGGAAACATTAATACTTCTGAATTTCATATTTTACTAGTGATTTGAGGGCATTTAACCCCACAAAAACCAAATTCAATTCATCTCTCCTTTTCACCAATTAGATATTGCTGTCACTTTTTCATTGTTTTACAATGCTGTTGGGATCAGTAATTATAGCTGATAAAGCCCATTTGCCTGCCCGCAACTGAGAGGGAAATGATTGAAGCCTGTTTTGAATTGGGTCACAGAGCAACATTACTCCCCTGGAAATTGATAGAAAGGATTAATTTTTCTATATGCAGTTACACTGACTAATCCTTTTGCCTGACTGCTGAATTTATGTGCTCTACAAGCTGACATTAACCTGGGTTATGCTGTTTCTTATAAGAACAGTTCCATAGGCAGCAGGTATAATAAAGTCTCATATCCACAGGCCTTTATGTATTCTATGTCCCTACATTACCTCAGTGAGAAATATGATATCCTCTACATTTTCTATGGCTCCTGTTGAAAATACCTTCTGTTTTCTTCCTATTTCCCCTAAATGTTCCTTCATTATCCTAATTCCTTACCTATTTATTGGGCCAGAAATAGCACAATGATCTCGTGTACTCTGTCATTACAAAGAACAATGCAGCAGGTAAAGAGAACTCTAGGACAGCGCTCTTCATGAACCATATTTAAAAATAAGCATTATATGTGAAATCTTTAGCTTTTAAAAGTTAATAGCTTTTCTGTACATGTCAATCCTGAGCTCTAGCAACCCACAAAACTAAGTCCTTCTGAAACTTAAATTCCTTTCTCCAGCACATTCACCATACTACTGAACACTTTCAAGCTTTCAAGCTGCCATGTTCTAAAGACAAATTAAAGAAAAGGTGTATAAATCCAGGATTTAATCACGAGGTTATTCAGACACTTGAATAGGCATTATAGTTTCACACAAAGTAGTATTCAAATCTTCACATACACAAGATGGCTGTTTGGGATGTTATGATTTAAATAAGGTCAAATATTAGTGAAAATTAGTTTAGAAAAGGAACCAGTGCTTCTGCTTGCATGCTTCTTCAAGTTATTTTTGTTATAGGTGCCACTTAGATACCCATTTTGAGAAGAATTTAGATACTGAAGAACAAAAGTGTTTTCCAAAGAAAGGGTACTTTCTTTGTATGAGTACTATGTTTGAACGTGGTTATCTGAAGCTGTGTATGTGAAGTTGAATCCTAGATATATTTAATCCATAATGCACACCAATCAAAAGGGTTGTAGATGCCAGTCAGAAAACAAAGCTTGAGAAAATGAATGGCTTTGCTTAGCCCTTGTATGCTGGGAACACATTCAGAAACCTTGATTTTTAGCAATTCCTTGGGTCAGTAACTGCTTATGAAGTTCAGCTTTTACCTATTCAGTGTTTATTTCTAAGTCATTGAAACCAAGATGGAATGCATCTTAATTTTAAAATTGAGCTTGTTTAATATTTGGTTTTCATACAAGTTTTACCAGAAATTTCTATCTTAAAAATGTAGCAACTGGTTGTGGTTTAGTAACTAGGCAAACCAGTATTTTAGTTTCACACACAGAACTTCGTAGACTGCAGAAAAAGTATGTGTTTCTGCACATTGGAGGTTTTCTCAAGGGGGCATACTTAGGACATTACTTTAAATTCTCCATAATTGCATTAATACATCAAGAAGTGGCCTCCCCCGTTACACAGCACAGAGGAGTTATAACTATTAGATAGCCCTTGCAGGGAGGATTATTGAGCCTAATTTCAAACACAGCTGTGAATATTGCAAGCTCAGTAATATTCATTGGATTTTTAATACTAAGTAAGCCCCACCACTCATGCTACATGTTGCATTCCCTGTAAAACCCTAATTCAGCCATATGCTGAAATTTGAGGGCATGATGTTTGTTTTCTTGGAGTTTTAATCCAGATGAGTGTCTGATGTCTGGTGGACCAGACACCCGTCTATATGCTGGATGCGACTTAGACCGTAGCGGGGGGGAAGGCAGGTCTGAAGGTGAGAATGAGCTGCTAGGAATGGAACAGGGGACAGCACTACATCTTTCAACACCAGTGCTGGGATAAACCCTTTAACTATTTGTGGTCCTACCATGTGAGGTTCTTTTGTCAGCAGGAGAAATTCCAGTCTTTCTTAACTCTGTGATATAGGAAGGCAGTGTTGTAAATGTAAAGTGAAAGAGAAATACGGATTTTTTTTCTCATCTACCTTACTTTTTAAATTGAAAAGTAAACTAGAGCAAGTAATTAAAAAAAAAAAACAGACAAACATAAAAGTAACACCTAGAAAATATACTACATACATCAACAATCAGAAAGTCCAGCCAGCACCAGGCATTAGTAAAGTAGGTTTGATAGCCATAGGCCACCCACTTCAGCAGCATTTCCAGTATGAAGATGTAAGTGAAGACCTTGTCAGCGTATTCCAGCATAGTCTTGATTGTTTTGCGCTGTTCAATATATATGTCTTCAAAAGCCTGTGGGTAAACACATTCAAAGATATTTGTTGTTCCCTTTTGTTACTCCACATCATGTTGTAACAAAAAAAAAAAAAAAAAAAAAAAAAAAGAAAAGGCAACAAAAAAAGGAAACAATCTTTCTTCAAGAAAAGGCGTGGGAGTGTCACTTCTATCTGATGTCTCCTTTTCTGCTAATGTGATATATGCCTGTTTTACCCCTATGGAACTATATTTTCCAGCTCACAGGAAGGAGAAGCATATATTACACAGCAACCACTTCACTGGTCAGAGATTTTTTAAAAATTTATTTATTGCTGATGGTGAATTATTCTTCTCAGAGCATTTCCAGTACTCAAAAAGAACACTGATTCTGCAGAGTGATATGCCTGAACTGAATTCTACTGAGATAATTTGGTTTCTATGTAGGTAGATCCATTTTCAATGTCCAGGGCCATAGCTGTGAAGTTTTTGAGGACAATGACAATACAATTATCTTATGTTTTTAAGTCCTGTTGCTTTTTGAAAATTTTAAGCAATAAATCATAAATCAAATTCTTCCTTTCTTAAAAAAGGCATTTGTCTAAATCAAATACCTGCTTTGCTGTTTTATTCACATTTTGAGAAACATAAAATTTCTGAGATCCTTGCAATGTTATTTACGCTTTTTGTGGGTTTTCATTTGAAAAAACATAGCTTCTGCTTTTCAGAAATTCTTCACATCCTCCAAGAAATTTTCCTTTAATTGCTTGTAATTTTTAATTATGCTGTTATTTCTTATGGAGAACAATTGATTTTATTGAATTGAAAGAACTGGAATGATCTGCTAGCTTGCGGAGATTTGGATATTTATTGATAGTAACATCCATTTTTACCCAGCCTGCTTCAAATGATTAGTGTTTGTCTACCAATCATTGAATTAATATCTGCATATCAGTAATTTTGAGTACTTAGATCAGGCACTATATGTAATCACTGACAACTTTATCTCACAAAACTGGGGAGAGCCAACACGCATCATTTCCTTCTTATAGGTGGGAGTATGCCAGAGGCTCAGCTAGCAGTGCTCTGGGCAGCTAGGAGTGTGTCTGCTCCCTTGCCCTAGGGCAGGTGTTTGCAGGCAGCCTGCAGTGTGCCTGTGCCTGCCAGATTCCCTGGCTGTAATGACAGTGAGAGTTGAGTCGTCTGGAGTGTGGCCTTGGGGTGGACGTCAGAACACAGTACAGGCAGGTCCAAAGAGACCTTTTCACTATTACACAGGCAGTTGAAGGCAGAGCAGGATTTGACATCTCCAGAGGCTTGGGCTAATCCCCTGGTCTCTGAAGCATTTTCACAAAATAAATGTTCTGTGGATGACACACACTTTAGGTTCACAAAGGCAAGATGCTAACACTGTGGGATCTCATCTCAAATTCCCTCTAAATACAATGATGGAAATTCACCTTTATCAGATCTCTTGCCAGTACTTCTCTCTCATTTAAATTCTTGTCACTAAAGGTTTTCTCCACTTGGTAGCATGAATCAAAATTCAATAGTGTAAATGTGAGTCTTTTTTTATTTCTGAGTTTTAAGTCACAGGGAAGGTGTCACATGATGTTGAGTAAAAGTTGCTTGTTTGATGATTGTGTTGATATTAGACCAAACAAAACCAAAATTATACTTAGAGAATATAATGATAGGTATAATCATAAACTGCTAATCATTAATGGTATTTTAAAGTGTTGGGAGTCATCGAAAGAATTTATAATACAGTTTTGCAACACAATTTTGCTTTATGATGTAGGAACTTAAGTAATTTACCAAAGGGTAATTGCATCTACCAGGGTAGATGCTAGATATAGCCTATGTTATCTTAGGCGCGTAGTTTGCCTGAGAAACTTCAGTTCAATATGTATCCAGGCTCACATTTATTTAAGAGTTCATCTCCAATTTCTTTATTCTTTGTCATTATTTGTATTTGTGAAATACCGTATTATTGGTATGTTTTGTTTCTTTTATTGTTACAGATTTCTATTTTGGTTGGCTTCTTTTTATTCTGTCCTCACATACTTGTTAACCCGAAAGGAAAGTCATGGTTTTACAGATATGCCTTTACTCTACATGAGTATGAGTTAGTAGAAGTTGAATTAGAAGCATAAATAATAAATTCTTATTCTTAGAAGGGAATAATTATAAACACACAGTCAATCTTTCTTGCGTTCTAGTACATAACATCTCTAGGACCCTACAAGCCAGCTCTGGCTCTTGCAGGGTATTGTGAGCTGTTTATGCCACTACAGTTACTTCCAAACTCTTTTTTTTCACCAGTGGCAGTTCTTTTCCCTGAGTTATATCAGTAAACACCAGTAAAACTAGAGAGCAAACTCAAATAACAGTTAAATATGTTCTCTTCTTTGCATGTTGTCCCTCTCCCTGCTTCAGGCTCTATTCTGTCCGTTCTTTTTTCAACAGACTGTTAAGAGACTTTTTCTACCATTCTTTCAAAGGCTTAACTAACATTTAGTTCTGCCATTTGAATTATGTATTCTTTCTGGTGGAGAAAACTAGGTTAAAACAATCTTTGAAGAGCCAACTTTTAAGAAGTTTTCTGACAACACTGTGATACTCTGTTCATGTTTTACTTACCAGAGCTCCACTACTGAGGAGAATCATAAAGACAATGAAAGTCTCAAACCAGTTGTGTTCGACAATCCTGAAGCAGGTTTTTCTAAGGTTCCACCACTGCTTTCCTCTCCCTTCTTCTATACTTACTTGACAGCACTTGAACCTTCGTACACAGCCTTTAAAACAATGTATGTATCGAGGAAGGGAAAAAAACAGAGACTTTGTTGAATTGCATTAATTTAGGTTATGCATTCTATTAATGATACAATACTACTTTTCCAGAAGCTGTGCTACCAATAGATTTTCACATAGATGACCTTCTTTTTCTCCAAAGCAAAAAAAATTAACACTGAGACAATTGGAATTTACAATTAAATGAACAAGTGAGAAGCATTTCTCATTTATCAAGAACTAAGTGCTCAATACAGTGCACACAAAACCATAAAAGTCCATGGAACATGAAGCCAAATTACAAAATACAAAGTATGAATAAAAATATACAATCTCATCCATATGTATAGTAGGTTTATGTAGTAAGATATGGGGAAGTATTGTTAAATTGTAATTTCTTTTGTTTATTCTCGTTAAATTCAGACAATGTTGCATTTATTTTATGAAAAAATTCTGTCTGCTATCTGAGTTCTGAGCTTTTCAGAACCAGTTAACTTCTCTAACTTGTGCCCATAATTTATTTAAACTTTCATGATTTAGCTGCTGACTTGATTTTGTTTCTTGTTTCATTTAGGTAGAAAAATACTAGTAACCAATAATAGTATTTTCTTTGCCAAATCCAAGTCTGATACTAGTACTACTTCTCACTAGTTCAGTGTAAATGTCTAAAGAAATTCCTGTTGTCACGTCCAGAAATAACCCAACCCTAGCACTGACAGTAGCATTTACGTTCCAAACTTGAAATCTAGCTTTTGCTTACAGATACCAAAAATGACATTTATAGCCTTACATGACTGTTTTAAACCTATTCCTTTCCCCACTTCCTTTACATGCACACATCCATAAGGTTTCTCAGAAGGAAATGCCTTTGAAAAGAAAGTTTATGACCAGATTCTGGTTTTATTGAGTTGTATAAAACAGACAATGAAGGAAGCAGGAAAGATGAATACATCCACTGGAGAGACTGTTCTTGCCCCAGGTGGTACACAAAGGCCCTTCCTTCTCTTTTTGCCAACTTATAGAAGGTTCATTTAGCATTTTGCACAAAAACATCCATGTGCAGTTTTTATTTACCACTCAACCGCTGTTTCAATAATGTATACTTTATAAAGCACTTAGACATCTGTGAAGAGTGGTATAAAAATAGTGTGTTATTTTATTATCTAGGAGACTAACTAAACTCAGAAAGTACTGTAGTTAGTAATAAAATAAAACTTTTAGTAATATATGTTAAAAATAATGATAAATTTCTGATAAAATGTTTTCTTAATTGTGTATCTGATATGTAGTATCATTGTGGTATCATTATCTATATGGTAAACCATGATCTAAATGTACTACTGCTAATAATAATCATTTAAGCGTTAACAAAAGAGTAATTCAATACGTAAAGATGAATACTTAGTTTAAATAGAGAATTATTCCATAATTTATGAATAAGTATTATTAGTATTTTTGTTCCAAACACCTTCTGTGAAGCAGGCCTCTGGCTCCTGGGCTTCTTCAGGTTCAGCTTCTGGTTGCTCTTCTGCAGGAAGTCCGATATCAACTGTGCTACCTTCTGATGAGCTAGACAAATTTAACTTCTGTGAAGGAAAAAAAAAAAAGCATCACAAATGCACAGTAAATATTTTTAAAGGCAAATATTAGTTGTTTTCAGAATAAGTAAATAATTCTGCCATGTTTTTTTGTGTTCTAGTATTCGATGTAAGTAAATTGCTGATAAACGTGAAATTTGTACAATCTTTGGTTTTCCTTCTGCATTGAATGGATCCATTAACTAGAAGGTGTATCAGTGATAAATAAGGCTTTAAACAAAATTATGCTTTAAACTGAAAAATATGAATGATGATGCTAAGCCTGCAAAGCTTTATGACCACATCTAGCCGTAAGTGGCAATGATCCCTTGACGTACATAGAAATAATAAAGCTTAAATATATATGCAGGAATCTATAGTGTCTACTGAAAAGCAGGTAAGAGCCTAAATACAGCTATATAAATGAGGTGGGAGTTCAGAGGAATGCAGGAAAAAAGAACTGATCAGCAGAGAAGGCTTACTTTAGAAGTCAGCAAGTACAGATTAAAATTGCTGAAAGTCTAGCTCAGAATGAAGCAAAAACTGCATACAATAAGGCTGAGGTAGATTAAAGATAGCCCATAAAACATCAGATTGTGTTTTATAACCTAATCAAATTTTCAATAACATGATGAGCATAGACAGGAGTGGAAAGTGGAAACCAAATTTTTAAAAACTGAATGCACTTAAGCTAATCCTATCCTAAAAATTCTCAAACCATTGTAACAGGCAGCTGGGACCTGGCTGCAACCTAGCTCGTTAGTATCGTGGCTAAAGTTTGGGTAAAAATTGTGAAGGAAACATATTTAAGGATGTAGAGGTAAACAAAATAATGGAATAAATGGTCCATCAGTGCTAGGTTGCAGCAGGCTTTTTGATATTGAGGACAAAAAAATCCCCAAACCCTAACAACAAAACTGTTACTGAAGCTGTAGCCAGTCCATTTTTCAGTAACAATTCCAGGACTCATTGACGTTGAGTTGCATGGTGATTAATAAAATTTGTAATATTTTAAGTAGCCAGGTTTTAGTTAATTTCATCTTGCGGTGACTACAGAGATTGGAATAACAATGTTTCACTTTATCAGGAAAATGGGTTTATGTATCCAGTTTCAGGCTCTGTCGTTATTTGTCACAAAAACCAATTTACAGAGGTTTTTTTTTTTTTTTTCCCAAATTACATTACAGAGTTGCCTCTCTAATATTTTTACAAAAATATTGTCTACTTCAAGTAATCCAATTTTCACAAATCATCCTTTGCAGTATGATTTACCACTTTGCAAAATAATTTTGAAAACACTTTTCAAAACTTTTTCAAAGCTTTTTCATTTTTGGAAAAAACCCTTTTCATTCTATTTCTCTATTTTCTTCTAAGAAGCAGATTTTCTGTAATATTACTGTCAGCTACTTTTTGCACACTAAAATTAAGTTCTTTGTAAGCTCAGTGTAATTTACAATTTTAAGATGATTAATTTATTACTTTGCTAAGGGACAAAAGAGTACTCAGCTGAAAAAACAAACCAAACCAACCAACCAAGCAAACAAACAAAACCTCTGCAGAAACCCCACACCTTTAGAGCTGTCCCAATCAGCAAAACAGAATCCTGGCCAGCACCATAAAACTCCAGGAATGGTGCTGAAAAACTTTGTATAGTCTGAAGTCAGATGGAGCTCACCTGTTAGTGCCCTCTGGCCTGAGAAGTAGAGAATCCATGCAGTCTTTTCTAAGTAAGTGTCTCAGCAAAAACCCTGCTAATTCAAAGACTTTGCTGTTCTGGTGTTTATTGTTTCTTTTCTACAGCCCCATTATACTAACAGTCTCTATAAAATAAGGAGTTGGACTCAAATACAAAACAACACTGCTGGATGGATTCTCCAAGGAAATCTATATAATGTAACTGCTCTTTCATAAGCTTCTGGAGGAAGTCAGAAACATCACAGTACTTTCTCAATGAGATAAAAGGTAGCCCTAGTCCTACAGGTAGCTGTGCATTTACAGAAAGCTTTCCTAAACTGAATCTGTTCCCCATTGGTTGGTCATAAACCAGCTTGTGTCACACCATTTGTCTGCCTGCTCTATGATGGGTTAGAAGACTGGACTGGACTGGTCAGCACTGAGGTAGTTGTGGGGAGAGTAGATGACAAGTTGTTTTATTTAGAAATTCTTCATGCTGGGGCAAGTTCATAATATGCTCAAGTACATTCTTATAACCTCTATTGTGGCAGCAGTTCAGCAGCTTGAGTCACAGCCAAATTATAAGATATTTTGGCTAATATTTAACAGGAAAAGAAACACTAATGCTTCAGATATTAATTTGGAAATGGGAACAACACTGTCTCTGAAATAGGTTACTATGGGCAGAGGCTGTTCTATACAGATCTCCTTTCTCAGATTGCACATAGCTTAACACTGCGGGTTTTTTTAAGAACTTGAGAGGGCTTATGCACAATGTAGTAATGGCCGTACAGAATTCAGCTAGCCTAAAATTAGGTGTCTGAAGTACTGTTAGCAATACAACAGTGGCAGTGGAAGATGAGCTATCCCACAAAGAAACTGGATTGCTACCAGAATGCAAACTAGCTAGTTTAAGGTTGAGGTTCCTCAAGTCAGAAAATTAGTTTTCTTAAATATCTGGAAAGATAATTTTCTGATTTGACTAAAATGTCAACAAGCTAAGTCACAGGAACAGTTATAGCCTTAATGTGTTTTTTAAAAAATACAGTTCTCAACTTGGCTTTATATCTATAGCCTGCTTTGGTATTCCCTTAGCAACATGAGATATTTTTAACTTTTGATACTATTTTTTGGTTTTAACAATTAAGTGAATTTGAAGTATATGGAAAAGTCTATGGTTAAAACTTATTTTTATGGGAACGTAACCACAGAAGAGCTGACAATTTTAAAATCTAAAATAATTCCAGTGCCTGAAGAAAATAGATAAACTATCTCTATGTTTTCTGGTTTATACCTGCTCACAAAAAAATCCCTTAGAGGGGGATTTTTTGAGTGGCAGAGAGAAGATGTATGACACTCCTCATGGGACCCTTGTTACAGAAAGCAAACAAAAGTTTCTGGTGGAATAAGTCTGGAGCTAAGGCACTGCCCTGCTCTACTGGTTGTTGCAATTACGATATGGACCATAAACAGTTCTTGTGGATTAGTTTGATCTCCTATTGCCTGGCGTCTGATCACCTCTTGGAGACTGTAATTTTTAACCTTTTCTTACACTTTAGTTCATCAAGAATTAAACCCTCCTTTGTGCACCCATTTATGCCCACGAGCAAAGAAGTGTCAAAATAACAAATGATCAAGAACTGAATACACTGGCTTACGCTGAAAAAAAAAGAAAAATACTCAAAAGATCAGAGAGAAACGCACAAAATATCTAAATACCTCTTTGCTTTCTTCCAGGTCTGACTCACTACTAAATTCCTCTGTGTTTAGATTTTCAAAGTCGGATTCACCCACAGCAATGGGCACTGTCACAGTGAGGCTTGGGTTGTTTATGAATGACATGTAATCACTTTCATCAATTATGTATTTTTCCACACTGCTACCTGTGCCTATGCCACTAGTTGTTCCATTCGCATCTTTAATATAGTCATGATCCTTGCTTAGTTCCACAGTTGTATGGTTAGAAATACAGCTATTTTTGTTGTTCAAATCTTCAAGTGGTTTGATTTCATCTAAAGCTTTTTGTTTTTTAACAAAAGCTTTTTGGATGAATTCACGTGCTTTTCTTTTCACATAATCTATGCCTTTCTGCATTCTTGCTACTGCAATTTGGAGATTATTCATTTCATTGTCATCATCTGTCACGGCAAGGTTGTCTGCACTAAATGAGCTCAAGAGCAAGGCCAAAAATAAGTTCAGTACCTGCAGAAAGATTAAAAAAAAAGGTTGTTCTAGACTTTATCCCAACAAAGAACATTTATTTTATTAAAAATTTTCTTATTACTGACATTGAAGACTGAAATCCCAATAATTCACCATAACCAAAGAAAAGTACCCTCAAAACTTTTTCTCTTTGCCATAAAAAACTGAGCTTTTTAAATTTTGCTTAGGTTCTGTTCACTATTCGAAAATATTCCAACAACTGACTAATACCTGTAAATGTGTTTTTAAATCCCCACAGTATATAAATATTTTGGTGCAAAATCTTATCATCTAAAAATGGAGATAACAGATTTGCTGTTCAGCATCATTTAAAAGTTTAATTTATCCCATCACACAGCAGAAATTAGATTATTTAGGTGACTAATCATATGGGATAAGTAATAAAAAAAATCCACAGCAAATGGTTTATAGAGAGCCCATAAACTAAAATTATTTGAAGCACAAAATATTTACAAAGAGCCAAAAGACAAATTAAGAACGTGACTAAGTGCTCATTGCAACATTCTTAGGATTTTGATATTGCAGAATACTTTGTTCTTAATCCAAAAAAGCTCTTAAGTTTAACTTTAAGCATCACTTGAAACCACCTGCTTAAGTGCTTTGCTGAAGCAGAGCCAGAGCACTTATTCACTTCAGGATTGAGCCCACTCTATTGCCAAATAATTTTTTGCTAATGCTTTGATTACGTACCACTAGGTTTCCAATCACCATGACCATCATGAAGACTGTAAGGCACATGGCTTGGCCAGCAACCTCCATGCAGTCCCACATTGTTTCTATCCATTCTCCACACAACACTCGAAATACGATCAAAAAAGAGTGAAAAAAATCTTGCATGTGCCAGCGTGGAAGCACACAGTCACTTGCGATCTTGCAGACACATTCCTTGTAGTTTTTCCCAAACAGCTGCATCCCAACCACAGCAAAAATGAACACAATAATGGCCAGCACCAGAGTCAGATTACCCAGAGCTCCCACAGAGTTACCAATAATTTTTATCAGCATATTTAGAGTTGGCCAAGATTTTGCCAATTTGAAAACTCGTAACTGGAAGAAAAGAAAAATACTGTTAGGACAACTAGCAAGAGAGAAAAAAAGATATTTTAAAGTTAATTTGTGGAAGGATATTACTGCAAAATATGCCCCGAGCATGACTGTTTGGAGGGTATCCTCTTGTCTAAAAGCATGAAGATGAAAAATTTTGTGAAGTTAGAGCTTGATATCCTCAAAGGATAGTTTTTACTGAAGGCCAAAGTTGTTACCGGTCATATTAGATGGAATTTAAAATTTAGGGTTCGTCTGTTAAAGCCATATGGGCCACTTTTCTATGGGTATTTGTAGAACAGATCTATTCCTGGCATGCCAATCAGGGGACAATACATCTAGTGAGTTGATTTGTTTCTGCATAGCAGGATGTTTAAAGTGTGTATATACACTGGAAACAGGCCCAGGGCACCCACTGCTATCTATCTGTCTGGATCTCCATCAATTGCCATTGAAGACAGTAAGATACCACAAGTAATAAGGTTTTGTACTAATGAAAGAGACATTAGGCTCAGTACTGTGGCAAACATCAAGCAAATTTTTAAGGCAAAAAAATATATTATTTTAATGAAGCCCCATTGAAAAATCAGTGCAATTGATGTATACTTACCAATCTGAATGATCGAAGAACTGAGAGTCCTTCCACATCTGCAAGACCAAGCTCGACCAAACTAAGCGTTACAATAAAACCATCAAAAATATTCCAGCCTTCCTGGAAATAATAGTAAGGATCCATTGCAATTATCTTGAGAAACATTTCTGCTGTGAAGATTCCAGTGAAGACCTGAATTCAAAATGCAGTTTGTTATTTCACTGTGAAATATAATATTACATATTCAGATGTTTAGTTTTTTAATTCAAGTTACGTATCTGCAATGCCTTATCCAAAACTGATACTTAAAATAGTTCAGTGTACTGTAGTGATTTATTATGCCCACCTTCCCTTAACAAGTGCCACGCAAACTAAATGATTTTTTCAATTAATTAAATTTTATACTAAACAAATTACATAAAATTCTGTTTTAGAACATTTATAATCCAATTTCAACTCTATCAGGATATGGACTTTCTCCTCCTGTACTGTACAAACAATATCGCAAATTTGATTTTCACAACATAAACCAGAATGCTTTCCAAGAAATTACATGGTATAACATCTTTCTTGGTATATTAATTACATTATACAGCAGCATGCATGAGGCCAAATCTAAGACTCCAGAGGGGCAGCTCCTTTGCTGGTATAACCTGCCATAACCCCATTCAGTTCAACCGAGATACGATTATTTATATCAGGCGGGGATCAACTGAGATACAATTTGCTGAAGCTGAGGAACTTCTACCTGGGTGTTGCCAGTAAGTTTAGTGAAGTTGACTGGCTCAATCACTTTAATGTCAGAAATGAAAGAGCACTTAAGAATGCATTTTGAATATGATCATGGGATGCTATGCTAAATGAAGTAGGAATCGTATTTGGGAGCCACTAAGGTAGTAACCCTGAGTAGCTTTGAGAGAAGTCTTAGAAGAATTTCCTATAGGATAGGAATGTACTAAAGCCACCATTAAAGGCTGCCTGAGCCCTGATTTGAAACGCTTTCTTTTTTTGGTTTTGATAACCCATTTTCAAGCAAGCTGAACAGAAAATGGGACAGCTAAAGAGAATAATCTAACTGGGATAATCAGGAGATGGACAAGAACAGTCTGGCTTGCTCTGCCTAGGAATACCAATGCTCAAAATAGATTTTATTACATTCTTTAAATACACTCCAGACACAGACACAAACACCAGAGAGGGAAAGGTTACTATTTTTTAAGCTACAGGATTGGAACCACTGAGGAAGAGGTAGGAATGAATAAATACAGTTTGAAACACTGACTCAGGTTCCTAACGATGAGGATGGTGAGGTTCTCAAGGAGCTTTGAAGTGGAGCAGGTGAACCCTGAGAGCCTGTATACTGCAGAAGGGTTTTATGTCAGGGAGCCTGAGTGGAAGAGCATTGTGCTTACAGCCAGGTGCTCTCGCACTCCCTTTGTAGTCAGATGTACACCAAGATTTATATGGCATTTTCTGGGTTGGAAAACAAACCTATAAAATGCTACAATACAAGATTTTACATTTTACTAGGAAAACCAGATTTAGAGTTTTCCTTATTTTAAGTATATGAAAACCAGCTATGCATTTATCTATTAATTCGTCCTTCTAAATGCTGTAGTTATTTACAACGATTATTAAAAATCCCATTATAAGAAATCAATTCTTAAAGTAAGAGACAAAGTAGGACTGCGGCTGCAGATAATTCTATGCAATCAAGCCTGTCAGTTCAAAAACATCAGAGCTACAAAAAATTAACTAACTCCTGAATTCTTTAATAATTTATCTTTTTGAAGTAGAAGGGAGAAAATATAGTTGACAACATGAGCTTACTAATTATCTGATGATAAAAAATATAAAAACTATAAGAGGAAAAAGTACTGCAGGGTATTTTTCATAGTTTTACATGAAGTATATAAAGCAAACAACCCACATATGCACATAAAAAGTCTTTTACAGAAGAAAATTCTAGGAATGCTTTTAAATGGCTCTTTTAGCTATTGTAAACCTGTGCTCAGGAAACAGGAATTAAAAACACATTCATAATTTAAAGATTTGTATTGATTGAACAAGTAACACTATGTTTATTTGCATAGTGTCTTTTTCATGGAAGTAATGCATTTCCTGGTTCAGTAGTTAGACAAATCAACTTCCGTTTAAGATGGACTTTACTTAATGTAGCATTAGTGCCATTTTTTAAATTTTTAATTTGGCTTAGCAGAACACTGCAATATATTGATTTTACAGCATCCTAAGTTACATGAGCCAGGGTTCACAGTGAAATTTCCAAAAATGTTCTGATAGAGTCATATCTGGTGACCAATAAATGTCCCAGAGACCAATAAATGTCCAAGAAGTCTACTTTCTAAAGAGTAAAAAAAAAAAAAAAAGCTGTTAAACCTCCCTCTTTCAGTTATTTCAGACATACCTCCTTCCAAATCATGAACATAAAAACCCAACAGACTTACCAGATTTCCGACTGAAAGTACGTTATTGAATTCATCAGTCATCGGATAATGTTCCATAGCCATAAAGAGCGTATTTAAAACAATGCAAATTGTAATAGCCAGGTCAACAAATGGGTCCATTACCACTAAGTTGACGATGTGTTTTACTTTTAACCAATGCGGACTGCAGTCCCAGATCAGGAAAATATTTGCAAATTTATACCAACATGGTGGACATTTCTGTCTTGATTCTTCGAGTTCTGTGGGAAAAAGAAGTTCATACAGGTAACTATGTGATTGCTCCAGCATTCCTCAATCCTATATGAATTTTGCCAGTCAAGTTGTCAGTCTAAACTGGTACTGATTAACATCCAATAAGCATGCCCTTTTTACAGGGCCTTTCATGAAAATCTATAAAAATTGCTATGAAATGTATTTATTTTGTTCAAAGCTTATGTATCAAGTACAGCTTCTTTGTATTCCAATCACTTTTCTGATCATTATCAATGTATGCATCCACTTGTATTATATTTTTTGTTGTTCCTTGATTACAATTCAGCCTGTTCCTCCCACTTACTGTTCTATTATGTAAATATTTTTATTCCAAAATTTGCAATGCTTGGGTGAAAATTTTCAATATAATTTTAATTCCTAGTTCAAGAAAAAGACATTTTTATCACCTAGAATAGCACTTCTTTAAAGAGTAACTGAATAAATGTAACTGCTAAAAATACATATATATTTTAACAATGGTTGCATACATATGAAAACTGTTCAGTGGCCTTTTTGTGTCCAATAATATATTTTTAATTAATATGTGTAAGCATCCACTCAGTTATGACCACCAAACATAACTTTGTAGTCCTGATGACCACATGAGGTAGACAGTAGCAAAACAATGAGACAGAAATGCTTACTTGGGTAATAACTTTAATGCTTACTTGTGTAACAACCTTAATGAATAAAGATCTTTGAGTTTACTGATAAATATGTGTCACTTTGTGGGACAGTATCTGTTAAGTAAGCTATTTTAAATCAGTTTTTAAGTTTCAACTCAAATTTTCAGAAGTCCATTGAAAAAACAGGTATTAAATATTAAGCTTTGTGTAGTACACACCT